AAACTCTGCCTGCCTCTGGAAAGTAAAAACTCTGCCTGCCTCTGGAAAGTCAGATCATTACTCTTAGAGATTCAGATATTACAGAAAAATATATCAAGCTGTTTGTATGTACGAAAATATGTTTTGTCTGAAAACTATTGCTGACGAAAGCAATTTAGTTTTAGAAATGGGTAAAAAAACTGGACATTGTCTCATTATTGTTTAGCTAAACTTTAAGACCATGAAAAGTTTATGGCTCTGTCCGTTTATGGCCACCCTTAGCCCCCCCATCTAGCTCCTCCCCTGCCAGGTGGTATAAGAAATTAGCTAATTAGTGTATATTTTCTATTCTTTTTGGACAAAACTATTTCAACTTCTTTAATTTTTATCAGTTAAGCATTTTAATATTAGAACTATGTTATCTGAAATGTGGTAGCATGAATTGAACCAATACAATAGATAAACCAAATCATATAGATAAAACCTAATGAACAAACTGCCTCTAACTCACACGTGACTGATTTAAATAGAGCAGCAAAACCATCAGAAACAAAAATATATATTTATAATCAATTTTTAATCAATTCTGTTTTAGTAAAATTTTCAACTTTAAGAAACTTGATTAAACTGTGACAAATGATTTTAACTTTTTGGCTCACTGCTCTGGATGCCATTCAATCAGGGGTGTCACAAATACTTAAAGATGTTTAAAAAAAAAGGGAAACAGTGATACGTCATGTCTGTCCCAAAGAAGAGGGAAGATTGCTGCAGAACCAGATGTGGAACGGAAAAGGCTTCTACACTGTGCACCTCAATCGACTAATTGACTAAACCTAACCTTAAGCATTCTTAATCCTCAGAAATGCTGACAATTGGCCTAAATATGGTGCTGCAGATGATGCAGGACTGGGTTGAGTTGAACTTGGTTGGCGCTGACTGGTGGAGTTGAAGTTGGTTCTGCTAGCACCACGCCTTCCCTGCAGGAGAGCTTTATTTGTGGTTAATTGCACATTTATGCAGGAAGTTGCAGCAACAAATGTAAATTAAAGCTTAAAGGTTAGTGTGTAATAAAATACAATGCAAACCAAAATGCAAATCAATGTATTTGTTAAGGATTCAGGGGTGAATTTGATCATTTTTGTTTAAAATCTTAAGTAAATGGATTTGTCAAATCTAAACAGACCTGCTCCACTCTAAACTGATTCCTGCTCATTGCCTCATGTTGAAACTCACAACTCAGAGAAAGGAAAAACACACAGAGACAGTGTGTCCAAACAGAATGGGTCTTTATTCAGGAAGTAAAAGAAGAGAAGATTGTAATCAACACCCCATTTAAATACAAAAGCAACGAAAATAAAAATAACCATGATATTCATCTTGCATATCAAAGAACCATTCAGTAATAATCCCGATCCAAACACCCCATAGTGAATCTTTACACAAACTTCAATTTAGAAATTAGTCACTTTAACAACAAAATTACAAAAACTTAGCTTTAAAAATAACCAAAAAACTTCAAAATATCTCAGCAGTTAGCTTCTCAAATATATTATGCGTCTCCACATAAAAATACAAAGGAAAAACCCACGAAAAACAATGACATTTGAATATATGACAAAATTATTCAAAAAAACCTGCTACCGTTAAAAGGAAAAAAAATAAAATAACGCAGGATAAAACAAGATGAAAGGAAATAGAAATACGCATGAAAAAGTCTCTCCTTTTGTTAGCAAAACACTATTCAAAATAACTACAATCATTTACATCAGTACAAAGATATCTGGATTTAAAAATACTCGCAATGAAAAAACGGGGTTCGTTTTTCTGACGGTAAAAAATGACACTGTGGATCAGAAATCTGCAAAATATGCAATGAAAAAAATAAATCTGCATTTAAAAAGGTCTACACTGTAGTTCTTACTTTTATACAAACATTAGAAACAGTATTGCACATCACAACACAGAGTCGAGGTTAGTCGGCCTTTCAAAATGTGTTATATTCAAGTTTCAGAGCATCTACGAGGACAGGCAGCCGGGGCCTCGATGCAACAGAGAGGGTTGGGGGGGGTGAGAATGTCAAGTGTCTTCCCAGATTAAAAAGAAAACCTTCATGTTTCCTTCCTTCAAACATGTGCCTCTTGTATTAAAATAAGAATTCCCCTGTGTATCAAAAAACATCTGATGGTGTTATGAATGATGT